ACAGTTTATTTAGGTGAGGCACAATGTGACTAAAGAACAGTCAACGAATTTTATTTTTATTTTATTATCATATTATTGCACCAAAGTTTATTCATTTTATTTTAGAAAGTGCAACATATGGTAACTATTTATTGCATACAATCAGATATCCTCTGAAAAGCCATAATTTTACTGTTGTTTTTTTGTTAATTTAAAAAAAAAAAACAACAACAACAAAAGTTTTCAATAAGTCCTTTTAAATGAAACGTTTGAGGTGTTTTATGCTGTCTAAACAGAATGTTGCTATATTAATCTTAATTAACGTATAAATGGAAATGCAGGAATTCTCATAAATGGTGAAGCTGAAAATGGCCATCGATTAAACACCGTGCACCTGATATAGGGAATACCATATGGTGGTATTGGTAGTCCAAATGGCGCTGGTACAACTGCCGGACTTATTCCAGAAGCTAATGGTGCAACTGCTGAACCGTATGGTGTTGGTGCAATGGCTGAACCTAGTCCAGAAGCTAATGGTGTAATTCCGGAGCCGTATGCTGTTGGTGCAATCGCCGGACTGATTCCAGAAGCTAATGTTGCGACTGCCGAACCTATTCCAGGAGCAAACGGTGTTATTGCCGGAGCTATTCCAGAAGTTAATGGTGTGACTGCCGGACCTATTCTAGAAGCTATTGCTGGTGAATAAGCAGAAGTTCCTGCTGACGATACCGGTAAAGGCACAGCAGATGTTAGTGCAAAACCTGCTACAAATATCAGAATAACAATCTTCATGTTTATGATATTTTCTAAATTCCTGGAAAAGAACTTCAGATAACCTGTCAAAATAGTTTTGCAGAAAATCTAAACTGTAGCGAGTGTAAACAATTATTAGCGTTATAGAAGGCATTTACTTAAACTGTAAACAAGTATAAAAATTTTTAAGCTTGAGCTATAAAAAAAAATTATAGTTCGTAGCATTTTCTACATCTATAACATAAACATTAATAATTAAATTGAGATGCATGCGGAATTCTATATGTAACCTTTGATAAACCAAAAAGAAGAAATTTTTTTTGATATGTAGAAACAAAATGAGCAAATGTTTCATTAAGATGTTAGCTGCAGACTTTTATGGAAGGGAATCAGTCAGAGCTATCAGTTTTTCAGAAATCAAATTCCAGACACTATTGTTCTATAAAAATAGCTCTATTGTTGACACTAGCACTGTAAAAATTTTAATATCAAATATTTTCAATTATTTCTGCTTTTATACTATTCAGAATCCTTACACCCTTAAGCCTTCATTTTGCAAATTACATAAATTGCTCTTCAATTCATATATATATATGTTATTTGCACATAATCTGTTGATTGAAAATGGTTAACAGCATCTGTCGACTAGCTGTTACGATAGAAACTGATTACACGACTTTTGGATAACTACTAAGGTTACACCCAGGCAACACCCTTGGCTTTAGCGATTTTTAGTATCGACAGAACTGAAAAAAAATTTTTTTTTCCTGAAAACGAAATCAAACTTAAGTGAAAAAAAAATTTAAATAAAAATCAGTAAATAAATAAATTTGAAAGAAAAAAGTTATAAGAAAATACAAAAAAAGAATCGCTTAAAATAAGTGATAAGTTTTCAAGCTTATTTTTTCTGAAGTATAAAAACAACATGTTCTTTTTATTTGAAGATGGCGTCTGTTTCTTTTTGATTTATAGTGTATTTGGTCTATGAAGTCATTTCCAAGCAGTTCCAGTAATCAATGAGTATAAACTTTTTAAAGCACATACCAAAAAAAAGCTCAATTAGCATTTTTCCACTGATCTGATAGAAGTGTTGATGTTCCTAGTTAGAGAATAAAACCTCTGTATCAAAACTGTAACTATTGAGATATCTAAACCAGATACTGAGATACACTTTTGTAAGCTGTAACGAAATAAGCAGTGCTAAAGTCAAAAGTGAAGTCTTGGTTTGTGAAACCCTATCTAACATTATTTGTGGAATTAAAATAAGACTGCCTACCTATCAAGTTCTTGCTAGATTAATCATCAAAAACAAAAACGATAGTATAAAGATAAGCTGTACTATCAGATTCCTAATCTTCAATCAGCCAGTTTCTGCTTGATCACGTTAACGATAAAACTATCATTTTTGGTGTTGAATATATTATATCAGATTCAGTAAGAAAATATTTGGAAAAAAATTGTAAAAATTAAAAAGAGCATATTTGAGACATCAAACAAAAAAGCAGACTGCATTGACCTGTTCGTTGATATGTTTTTTGAATAAACCATTTAAAATCGCCAATAATTTTTTGTCTTAATACTTCCATCAGCACCATTTACATTTTCGATAAACATCTGAATTGGAATAAAAACGAATCTGAGGGGAAAAAATTTTTTATGATAAATGATTGTTTGGTTAATCACATCCACTTCTTATCCAATTTATAAGAAGATATTTATTGAATATGAAAAAGATGGAAAAAGTGATTGAATTAGAGAAAAAATACTCTTCTTTGAGATAGATTAATTCAGTTTATTCCTGAAAAATAATATTTTGAAACAGATATTGATCACCATAACAAATTTACATATTATCTGTCATTGTAGCAGTTAGTTTTAACTCCCAATAAACTGTTTAGAATCTGTATTCAGTTGATAATTGTACACATAAATTAATCAAAAACTTTCTGATGTAGTCTTTTCAACCTAAGCTTTAACATCGTATCTTTAACCGGATCTTCTATAAATTGTTTTTTAGAAATAGACTTCTTTTACGTTCATCGTAAAGTTTCCTGTCACTAAAAAATGTTTTAAAAAAATTTTTTCGTTTACCACTTTTGAGCATTTTCTTACCTTACAACTTTAGAACCACTAATAGAAAACCAGATTTTGTCTGAAAAATTCAGCAAATTTAAAACTTAAACTGGCGAAAAAAAATCCGATCACTGATCTACCTATTAAAAATCGAAAATCGTAAGGTGTTTTTTACACAGATATCTTTTGTTTACTTTACACATTTTTTTTTTTCAAACATCAAATGTCACTTGTCAGTTCAATTTGTTGTTAATGTTAAAAAATCTTAGCACTAAAACTTCTAAATTTATAAGCTATTACAAACTGCTTCTAGAAACAAAATCGTTTTCCTGTCGTTTTATTTGACTAATATTTTCCCAGTTTTTTACACTGTCAACTATTTCAGTACCAATGAATCTTCTGACACCGGAATATAGCATTAAACCTATCATTTTGTTGCGGTTGAGAACTCATGAAACTACAGAAGAGATCTCTCAAAATTTTTCTTTCTCATTACTCGGAAGTAATAACACTGCAACAACATACCGACAACTTTTATCGACTGGTATTAATTTCAGCATCAAACAAGTCGCATCTGTATCTACAACTTTTGTAATTCAAGTTTCTTCTACACTAAGCAGCATTTTATGCAACAAAGTATTTGCACTGGAATTTTCCTACTAGTGTTTTAAATCCATAAGATATAAATTTCGTAAAAATTCCAGTTGCCCAATTTTTATCCAAAAGTTACATGATCAAAACCCGCTACGAGATTTTACTACTTGAAAGAAGCTCAGTTGTTTTTCAAGATATTTGCTTAAATTGATTCACTACCTAAAATTAAAAAAATTTCTTCTGTTGATCGAAAAGTACACGAACTGCTTTGGAATAATCCGTAAGTGTTTTTGTCACTCAAATAAGAAAAAAGTTTACTTTTTTCCTTAGTTAAATAGCGCTTAACTTATAAAAAGCCCATCTTTACCATTCGAGCAGAAATTTAAGACACGATTCCAATACAGCTGTCCCCGAGAAACACATACAAAACGGATTAGCAGCATAATTATGAATTTTATCCCTTCTCCTATCTCTTTCAAAACCATTTCCACCTTTACTACCAATCCGTTAAAATCCACTACCACCTCCAAAACTTTTTTTCTTAGTTGCTTGTCACCTTTGTCAGGTATAAATTATTTTAGCTGTTGTAGATCGGTCTACAACGATTGCAACTGTAAAGCAGTTTTGTACAGTTAAGCTTCTGTACAAAGTGCGCAGACTCACAGCAGTTGAGTGTAAGAGAGATATAAATGTTGTACGGTAGTGGTATCCTTCTTCTATTAATTTAGCATACAGCAATCTTTTTTGAAGAGTGCATCTGAAGATACACATAAGCATTTCAGAACTGTTCAGAAGTGAAATCCGAGATCATATATTTTATTACAATTGACCTAAAAAAGTACAGCATTTAATTTAAACCAGTATCACAAGCATTCTGCCCCTACATGAATGTGATAGTAGAAAGAAAGGTATAACAAACAGAGGGTTTTTTAGGGTCTTTCAAAATCCCAATAGTCCCTAAGATTAATTTGCAGCTTTTAGCTTTTAGCTCTATTATGCATTGGCGTAAATGGAATAAATTGCTCGAAACAACTAAAAAACTATCCTTTTTCTAGTCGTCCTAAAGGAACGAAGTCATGGAAAGGAAAAACAAAAAATGAAAACAACCTCCAACAACTTTATGTCATAAATAAAAGACCTGAACAGTATAAAACTGTAGGATGTAGAAGTGAAATTGTAAAGACCTAAGTTACACAAAGAGCTTTAACTTGTACCCTACAGCAGATCCCGCAAAAAATTCTTAGAAGCTTAAATCTTTCCTAATCCATTGAAGGATATCTCCATTCAGTCAACGGAACTGTTGTTTCCTTAATGCATAGTGGAGATGTCCATTTCAGCGGATAATGAGGACCTCCTGCTTTATCATTCGTGCCTGAAAAGTCCATCCATTACGAAAGTTCAGAGAATATGTTGCTAAAAAAAACTAAATAATTAATCTTTTGAGATCTCGAGAAGATAAAGCCGTTTAAAGTGAATTTCCAAACATAAATTTGTACCGCTCATGCGAGCTCCGCCGAACGGTTGCTGTCCAACTACTGCACCGGTAGACTTGTCGTTAAGATACATATTTCCAACTGCGTCCCGCAACATGTCCTTAGCTTTCTCCAAGAATGCCCTTAACATACAGATTTACTTCTTTTTTGCTTTCTGCTTCAAAGAAAGACACAACACTACGGCAAACACATTAGCTCACTAGTGAGTAAAGTCAGTTAATCTTTGGTCGTAATATCTAACTAACTTGTCTTCAGCGAAAACTCCTCCAGTGAGGCCAAACGGTGTAGCATCTTTCAAACCGCTAACAACTTTATCAACGTCTTTGTCAGGATAAACGTATGCGGTAATAATGGGGCCAAAGATTTCCTAAACTGTCAATTACTACGTATGCAACAACTATTCTAATTTTCTGGCAATATAAAGTGATCTAATTTGAAGAGACCTCTTTTAATAATCTGGCATCCCAGTTCTTCACTTGTACCAAAGTCGGCTGAATGAAGTACCCTTTAGAACTGTCATACGTTCCACCATAAATAATTTCTGCGCCATCAGCCCCTGTTTTGGCATACTCTATGTACTCAACAATCGTGTTGAAAGCACTCTTATCAATAATTGCAGCCATAAAAATTGAAGGATCACGCACCTAAGAAAGCGCAAAGTAGAAGATGACAAAACGCTGGTTAAAAAAGCAACGTCACCAAAGTCGAAAGCCGAACATATGAATTAAAAGATTACGTCGCCAACTTTAATTTCTTTAGCTATAGCAGACATCTTTGCTTTCATTGCGGGCCATAGACTTTCGGGAACATACAAACGTGAGCAAGCACTGCATTTCTGTCCCTGATACTCGTAACCTGCTCGCATCGTACATGCTGTTGCAACGTCTAAGTTTGCTGATGGGTGAATGAAATGGAAGTTTTTGCCACCGCATTCTAAAAGCAGAGTGTATAGGAGTTGTTTAAGAAATGTAAGAGAACCCGAGAGGAGAAAAGACGCCATTGACTGGAATAAACAAATAAAAGCATGAAAGATCTTGCGAAAGGAAGGCAGCACAAAGCAATAAACAGACGTGCATTCAATAAGGAAAATAAAAATAAAT